GAACCCAGGAGAGAGGTGGTGGTGCTTTGGGAGGCATGGTTGGAGAAAGGGCTGGAGGGAGGCAGCATGTCTGGCCTAGCAGGAATAGGCCTTGGGCTATTGATGGTGATTCTGTCTTCCTCTTGTGGGATTAGAGGAGGTCAGAACATGTGGCCTCCTTGCCGTTGCAGCAGGGAGGGAAGATGTGGAACAAAATCCAAAAACATAAAAATGACCATAATTACTGGTTGGATAGAGTCTGGTGGAACCCCCAAGACTTTGGCCCTAGGTTACTCTTCCGGCCTAGAATTAGACTCACTCCCATGGATTGGCTCTCAGCCCAACAGTGGAAAGACCTACATTCAGAAAACCTATCCCAAGGCAATGCACCCACCTACTCTAGGGAAATACACCCCCTGGAGCAATCGGTCGTGAGGCACCAGAGGGACAGCGTTCACATAGAGGAAAGCTGGACAGACAGGAGTGCATAGTTAAGAAGGGTACAGGGAGGGGGTGGTCACAGGGACAGGAGGGGAGGAGAGTTCATTATGGTCGAGGATGGTAATGGGTATGTGAAATCAAATGTACACGAACTGTTGAATGTAAAACAAATTTAGCTCTGTAAATTTGCACCCAAAACAGAATAAAATTTTTAATAAATAAATAAAAGTGGTTTGGTTTTGTTTTGTAAATTATATATCTATCTTTTCTCCTCAACTACATCGTAAACTTCTGGGGCCTATAGACTGGGTCTTCTATTTCTTATGCCCCTGCAGAGTGTTCAATAAAAGTTAACCATAAGAGGATCGACACAATGGCCACAATATTCCTGGGCTTAGGGTTTTTCAAAATTTCATTCCACAGGCTTGATTGTGTTTGTTAAATTTGTAAGGTATTTTCATTTGATTCTTGGACAACATGGAACTTTTCCTTTGTTGTGTGTTTGAACAAAATGTTCCCAATTGAAGCACTCATTAAGTGGCCATTGCCACCAGTAATATATACATTTACCCTTTGGTGGTGAAATGGAAACCTTTGAGGTATCAGGCTTGGTTTGGGAGTATCACTGAAAGTCTTTAAACCTGCTACTTTACAGTAGCACTGGGAATCAATGAGAACTGTCTCAGAATTATAGGGCTAAAGTTACAAATGGCTAGATGACCTGATCATGATGTATCATATTACTGTTCCAACATAGTGTTACTCGTGCTGCAAACCAAAACAAAAAACCAAACTCACTGCCATTGACTCAATGCCATTGGGTTTCTGAGGTGGTAAATCTTTACGGGAATAGATTGCCCTGTCTTCCTTCTGTGGAGTGGCTGGTGGGTTTGAACTGCCAACCATCTGTCTAGCAGTCAGATGCCTTAGGCAACCATGCTGCAGTACTGCCTTTTTTGTTTGTTTATAAACATTTAATTCTCCAAGGAAGGAAGCCTGATTAAATCTATGGGAAAATGTGCAAATGCCCACACAAAATTGTATAGACCATTTCAGGGGGTTCCTAGGCCCTCTGAAAGTCCCTCCCCTTTCTTCCCCCATGCTTCTTACCCCTCATTCCTTCCATCAACCCTGTGGATCATTGTTAGCCTATTCTAAGAAGATCCACATAAAATTATTGCCATTTTAAACCAGACATGCTACCCAGTGAAACTAAGTCCCTTTCCTTTTGGCGACAAAAAAGAACCATTCCCGTCAGGTTGATACATACATACATTGAAAATGCCCAGCCTCATTATACATCTCTGCTGTAAACCACTGTACTTGACTTCCCATCCTTCCTTCTCTGGAAATAATCGTTCACGTGCATTTGTTGGAGAAGTACAAATAGATCAGTTCTGCCCAAGGAAAAGCTCTCACATGCATTGGTGTGTTTCTGTGCAAATAAGAATTAAACTATTTAAATATAATTATCTCTTCATAACTTTTCCTGTGTCTGTTTTTAAGAAAGTGGTATTTTTCAGGATACAAAGCAGCTTCCACCATATGACATGTTACTTTAAAAATAATGAAATCCTTTTGTCCATGCTTATATAAAATGCCAAAGGAAAACACTTAAGTGCACATACACTCAGAGACAACTGCATATGATAGGACTTTGCTGTGCAACTATTTGGAATTTTATATCTTTATTGGGGAATCTGATTGGAACAAGAGAGGAATGAGTCTCCTTTCTTAGGAAAATTGTGTTTCTGCTTTTTCCTCTAATGTTCCAGTGAGTATATTAAATGGAAGTAAGCAAAAGATGTTACCAGATGAAAACATACATGAGCACTCTGACATAGGGCTTCATCTTGTTTCCAGGTGGAATCCTGAGTTATTTCAGAAAGGTGGCTAGTATTTTTTTAAATGGTCTGAAAACAATATAAAATTCAAATTATGTGAGGTAGAAATAAAAACACCACATTCTAAGAATCAAATGACAGTGTATCATAGGACTTTATAGTTCACAAGGACAGAAATCATCTTGAGGAGATAGATCAAGAAATATCCTTATTTTAAGGAAACTTGGCACTGAGGCTTGGGTGAGGTCACCCAGCTAGTAATGGAATTTTAACTAAATACACATTTTCTAAATCTGAATCCAAGACTTAAGATAAATTAACCTCTTGATCTCAGTTTCCATATACTCCTAGCATACACTTAACTTCACACATTTCACAGAGTTGTTTTGAGAGTAGATTACATAATGCAGCGGTTCTCAAGTGTGACACCCAGACCAGCAACATGAGCATCTCTTGGTAACTTGTTAGAAATACAGATTCTCAAGCCCCACTCCAGATACACTGAATCTGAAACTCTGGGAGTGGGACCCAGTGATCTGTCTGTGTTTTACCAAACCCTCCAGGTGATTCTGATATAGGCTAAAGTTTGAGAACCACTGATATCATGTAGGAGAGCATTTTTCAGGAGCTTAGTGTTCTAGAAATATAATATAATATGCTTTTTATTATTATTAAAGTAAAATTTATATATGGTGAAACAGAGATCTTAATATACAATTCTATGAATTTTGACCACCCCATAATATTCCCTCATGCCTTCTTCCAGTCAATTGTCAGCCCCCTTTGACAACCATAGTTCAATGCTCTTCACTGGAGAAGGTAATAGGACTTGATGAGTTGGACACATCAAGAAAGAAATAATAGTACAGAAGACACACAGAAAGAGCAGTCTATATTTACTATCTGTAAATGACTTGTTCTTTTTTAAATTATTGAGCATAGTTCTCTGTTTTTTTCAGCCCATGGACCAGGCTTCTCTCAAAAACAGTGATGTTCTCATTCTGACGGGGCTCACCCAGATTCCAACTGCAAACCCAGACGGTATGGTAGGAGAGTTCTGCAGCAACCTAGGTGTGTATCCTTGTCGGACCTCAAATGGGGTGATACGTTTTATTTTTAGATACCTTGCCCCTATAGTATTTTGGCCCCTTCCCTTCATATTCATATCCTCTGTTGCCCCTTTTAATGGCCCCCTTTTTATCCCAGTTACCACTTTCTGTCCTTTCTTCAAAACATGCTGTTGTCAACAACAGCTTAAATCTGAAGATGCATTAAGAGTGGTTATTTTCTAATGGAAAATTAGAATTTTTACCACTTTATACAATAGGTGCACAACATTTTCCCACTTCATTTATATACAGAATGTTCACTTAATCTGTGTGCTTTTTGGTAGTATGTGAGAGTTTTGAAGGAGCTCCAGTGGCATAGTGGGTAAGGCATTTGGCTACTAACCAGAAGGTCAGTGGTTCAAACCCACCAGCTGCTCCTCAGGAAGAAGAGGCAATCTACTTCTGTAAAAATTTACAGCTTTGGAAACCCAGTGGGGGTCTCTGTTGTTGTTGTTGTTGTTATGTGCCGTCAAGTCGGACCTGACTATAGTTACCCCTCCTTGGGTTTCTGAGGCAGTATCACTATGGAAGTAGATTTCCCCATCTTCCTTCCGAGGAGTGGCTGCTGGGTTTGAACCGCCAGCCTTCTGGTTAGCAGTCAAGTGCCTTAGCCACTATGCCACTTGAGCTCCTAATGGGGGTCTCTATGAGTCGGAATTGACTCAACGGCAGTGAGTTTGGTTTTGGTTTGAGGGTACTTTGAAGCAGTAGTTATAAAAGAAGAGAAAAATCGCATCTTTGTTTTTGCAAATCACAGTACAGAAAAGAACATAATACTGTAAATTCACAACACTGATACACTGAACAAGTGTATTTTTACCCCACTAATATTTGGTTGCTATTATTTTTTTCTTCTTTCCGGGAAGACTAAATCAAGAGACTTGTGGAATATTTGCTACCTAGAAGAAATTTAGGCGCTCTGGTAGCATAGTGCCTAAGGCACTTGACTGCTCACCAGAAGGCTGACGGTTCAAACCCACCAGCCACTCCTCGGAAGGAAGGTTGGGCAATC